CGTCCAGGAGTTGTCCCTCTTGACCGCGGCAACCACTCCTAACGGAATACCACGGACAAGGTGTACTGCGCATTGCCCACCTCTCCTTCTCGTCCCACCACTGCCTTAACGCGGGTTCATTACCTTGAGCCAACAGTCCATCACCCAGGACGCTTGGTCCCATTGATTATTCCCGTCGACTGGAACAACGTTAGAACCCCAATAAACCCACTTTGACTGGGACAGTGCGCCACTTCTGTTGAAGCTGTCGGCCCAAGGTATCGACCGCAAGATATGCCTCCCTCCGTTTGTTGGCGTCGACGTTGGGTCAAAAGTAAGAAGACCGATCCCCAGCGTGATTAATTGGCGCCAATTGCAAAAATGATCATTGACAGGATTATGAGGGCGACGATTGATTGGCCAACCCTCATAATTATGTATCGTTGCATAAGCCCTGCTTCTCTAGGTAGATGGGTTAGCTTCGCGCGGAGGGGCAAACTCCAACAAGTGAACTTGCTGGAACTCACCTGCCTCTGCGCTTAGCTTACTTACAAAGCCAGAGTTACCTGGTTCTTTCCGGAAATATTTCGACTGTCCATATTCTTGTCGTATGAATCCTTGCCGGTATCCCAGTACGTTATTTCCGGGACAGTGGCGAAAGGAGTATCCACCTCGAAGAGGGGTATACCGTAGTAGTCGGCGTGCAGGAACCTTTGCATCTCACCGATAAGTTTTTTGATCTCCTCCAGATCCGTCGACGCGAAAGCCTTGTCCATAATGACATCAAAGTCCGGGTTGGCATACGTCGTGTTTGGAGCCTTGGAATACTCAAGCGCCCGGGTAATGCTGAGAATCTCTGCCGGCGCCGCCCGATTGGTCGTGCCCCAGGGACCGATCCATCCACCACTGAGATCCCGTGCGCGACGCATATTGCGCAGGGTACCGTATTCGGTAGGCTGGAAGTCCACCTTGATGCCCACGGAAGTAAAGTCGGCGCCAATCGCTTCAATCATCCGGGGAAACTCGGCAATACCACCGAAGGGGTAAATAGCCAGCTTAATTTCCAGCGGATTGCTCTCGGTATAACCCGCCTCGGCCAACAACTGCTTCGCCAACTCCGGCTCATAGGGATAGGAGCTTAGCGAAGGATCATAGCCACTCTCAGCCGCGTAACTGCCCATGGGGTACAGCGTAGTGCTACCCCGTCCAAGGAAGATATGCTCCAATATGGCGTCCCGGTTGATGGCTTTATTCATTGCTTCTCTTACCCTGACGTCTTTGAAGGGATTGCCCTCCTCCCACTGCTGGAAGAAATAAGCCCCCATCAAGTCTGCTCGGGCCTTATAGAAGATATTGAAGCCATCATCAGCCAAAGAGGCAACCCGCTCCCGGCTGGTGTCAATCACATCGGCCTGACCCGACTTAATCATGGCGATCCGGGTAGTTTCTTCGGAGACGCCCAGGAAGGTTATGGTCTCATATTTGGGTATGCCTCCGTTGGGGCCGCCCCGGAAGTGGGAAAGGTTAATGGAGTCTACCCTTACCGAAGCGCCCAGCACCTGCTCCCCGAAGCGATAAGGGCCGCTGCCGATGGGGGCTTTGGCGAACTCCGGTTCACCCACAGCTTCGTAGTGGGCTTGGGGATCAGCATGCCTTCAGTACCTCGCACACCAGAGACTATCCAGGGCGCGAACAGGCACAAGGTATGGCAGTTGATCTTGAAGGTATAATCGTCGGCTGCTTCAAGATTTTCCAGAAGAGGAATCAACTCTCTATTGAACGTAGCCTGGGAGTCGTCTTCCATTGCTTCTTCCAGGCCGAACTTGGCGTCGTGGGCCGTTACTTTCTTCACCATTGTGAAACTTGATGCCCTGACGCATGTAAATGGTATGGGTCTTGCCGTCGGGGGTCATTTCCCAATCGTGCGCCAGGCCCGTATCCTTGCTGAATGCACCCTGAGCATTGGAGCCGATGACCACGTCATACATAGTGGAATTAATGTCTTTCCCGCCTGCGTTGACGTTGCCAGCCTTGGGATAGATGCCATCGCTGCCCAGGGAAGCGTAAGTGATACGGAGATGGCCTTTCGACTCGGTGGCAGCGGCAGGAGGAGGCGCCGGAGTCGGCGTGGCGATCAGAATCTTCTCCACCTCAACCTGTACTTCCTTCTCGACTTCCCTTATCTCCGTCTCTATAACGGTCTTTTCGACTTCGACTTCCCTGATTACTTCTTTATCAACCGGGACTTCTACCTGAACTTCCCTGATGACCTCCCGATCAACCGGGACCTCTTTGATTACCTCTACAATCTCTGTCTGCGGGGCAGAAGAGCCGCAGGCCACTATGAAAAGCAGCGAAACGGCAGCTCCCAACGCTAATAGCCTATTGATGCTGAAAAAGTATCGCACCATAAATTCTCCTACAGGGAAAAGACTTAAGGGTCGCGATAAATGTTCCCACCAGGCAAATGGTTCACTGAAAAGGGGTCTGCCCGAGAATACCGATCAACCGGATCTAAACAGGGGTTACACAACTGTCATGACTTTGGCTGCCGTGAAGGCCAGTGTCAGAAAGAGCACCGGCCTTCAACAATATGTCTCTCGAACAACTAGTTAACAGCTACCTTAGATCGGGGAATATCAGGCTGTCCATGTTGTTGTCGTAAGAGTCCTTCCCCGTGCTCCAGTAAGTTATATCCGGAGTAGTGGCAAACGAGGAATCCACCTCGAATAGAGGAATCCCATAGTAGTCGGCATGAAGGAACCGCTGCATTTCTCCGATCAGGTTCTTCACTTCTTCAGGGTCCGTTGATGCGAAGGCCTTATCAAATATCTCGTCGAATCCCGGATTCTTGTAGGTAGTATAGGGCGCATCGGAATGCTCGAGGGCCTTAACGATACTCATGATCTCAGCGGGGGCAGCCCGATTATGAGTCCCCCAGGGACCGACCCAGCCGCCTCCCAAATCCCAAGCCCGACGCATGCTACGAAGGGTTCCGTACTCGGTTGGCTGGAAGTTAACTTTTACTCCAACTGCCTCAAAGTCCGCGCCCACTGCCTCAATCATGCGGGAGAATTCGGCAATACCGCCAAAGGCATATATTGCCAGCTTGATTTCCAAGGGGTTGCTTTCGGTATAACCAGCATCAGCCAGCAATTGGCGGGACAGGTCCGGATCATATGGGTAAGAGCTGAGGGAGGGATCATATCCGCTGGCTTCAGCATAGCTTCCTATGGGATACAGTGTGGTGCTGCCCCGGCCAAGGAAAATGTGTTCCAGGATGGCGTCGCGGTTGATAGCCTTGTTAAGGGCCTCTCTGACTCGGATGTCCTTAAAAGGGTTGTCGTCCTCCCACTGTTGGAAAAAGTACATTCCCGTAAGCAGGGCCCGTTCCTTGTAGAAGATGTTGAAACCATCGTCAGCCAGCGGAGCTATCCGTTCCCGGCTCACGTCGACAATATCGGCCTGCCCCGACTTAAGCATGGCGATGCGGGTGGTTTCCTCGGAGACACCAAGGAACGTCATTTCCGCGTACTTTGGTATTCCACCATTGGGCCCACCTCGGAAATGGGGCCTGTTTATTGATTCCACCTGCACCGAAGCACCCAGCACCTGCTCCACAAAACGGTAGGGTCCGCTTCCTATGGGGGCCTTGGCGAATTCGGGTTCGCCGATCGCTTCGTAGTGAGCCTTAGGAACTATCATGCCCTCGGCGCCACGAACTCCCGAGAAAATCCAGGGAGCGTAAAGGCATGCAGTGTGGCAGTTGATAACGAATGTGTAGTCATCCGGTGTCTCGTAATTTTCCCACAGGGGAGTCAATTCCCTAATGAATGCGTTCTGCGCGTCGTCCTCCATAACCTCTAGCGCACTGAACATCACGTCCTCAGAAGTGACTTCCTCGCCGTTATGGAACGGAATTCCCTGGCGAAGGTGGAAAGTATGCACTTTGCCGTCATCACTGACGGACCAGTCCTGAGCCAAGCCTGTATCCTTGCTGAAGGCGCCCTGGGCGTCAGAGCCGATGACCACGTCATACATCGTCGAGTTGACATCCTTCCCACCAGCATTAATGTTACTGGCCTTGGGATAGATTCCATCGCTTCCCAGGGAGGTGTAGGTAACTCGCAGGTGACCCGCCGATTCGGTGGCTGCTGCCGGCGGGGGAGCCGGGGTTGGAGTGGCGATAAGGATCTTCTCCACCTCAACTTGTACTTCCTTTTCCACTTCCTGGATTTGAGTCTCTACAACGGTTTTTTCAACTTCGACTTCCCGGATTACCTCTTTTTCAACCGGGACTTCCACCTGTACTTCCCTAATAACTTCCCGGTCAACTGGAACTTCCCTAATGACTTCCACAGTCTCCGTCTGCGGAGAAGCGGAACCGCAACCTACTATAAAAAGTAGCGCTAAAGCACTGCCCAAAACGAACAGCCTCTGCGTACTTACCCACCGAAACGCCATCTATGACCTCCTCGAAAACACACAGTGAGATTGCTTGGCGGACACGCTCTGTCCAAGCCTTCAGATATATTAACACAAAAGCTCGTTTATCCAGCCAATTTATGACAATTCAGGCCACAGAATATGCCCAAACAGGGGTAGTTTAAGTAATTTCGTACACTTTCTGCTGAAATATTCCAAATTTCATCAATAGTTATCACGAATCCGTCAGCATGTCCTTTGCCCGGTGAGGAGCGTCGGATTACTCGTAGCAACCCATAGCAGACCTACTAGGAACGGCCCCTCGCAATCCGCGAAGGGCCGTTCTTTTTGGAGCCACGATTGTGAGCCCTGCTAGTACTTGGTTACGTTCACAACTCGAAACGTCCGGACCCAGTATTCGCCTGTGATGTAGCTCCAACTGGTGGCATAGTTAGTCTGGATGTCGTCGGCGAACTGCTTGCGAAGGTTGCTGGTCTCATACCAGTGCAAGTCCTCCTCAGTATTCCAGAGGCTAACGGAGATGGCTTCGTCTTCACCGTCGATGCCACGCAGAATTGACCTCTCCAATAGGCCGTCAATAGTGTCATTCAAGGGGAAGACATTTTCTCGATAATACTTCTCGTAGTCTTCCCATCGACCAGGTCTCAGGTGTCCCCAGACCATTCTAAGGTACATAAAGGTATCTCCTGCCCCTTTTGGCGGCCCCAATCCGTCCGCGCGTTCGTGTTCTGCGATGTTTACGATGCCTGATTCTTGACGCTACACCAGGTCCGGCAATCGGGTTCATCTAAAGCCAGAGGCACGTCACGGTATTGGTTACCCCGTCAATGGGGCGTATCCGGTTACGGAGCAGGCCCGTAATATCTTCCTGCGTATCGGCTTCTATTTCAATTACGGCATCATAGGGGCCCAGGACTTCCTGCACCACTGTCCCGGGCAGGTTGCTCAACCTCTCCACGGCTGACCGGGTTTTTGCGGGCTCTAAATTCAGCAATACATAGGCATGAACACTCAAAGCTAACTTACCCCCTGGATATCCTGGTTATTTTCGCGCCGACGTTGGCTTCGTTCCGACGGGTTCCAATACCCGAAGGGCGAGGACTCTTTCCCGGCAAATGTATATGGTCTGAGTATATCATCAGAGTAAACGGCGTACGGAACCCTATGAGTCCCCCAGGTTCAATTCCCTTTCCGCGCTGATGGTCAGGTGGGTCAAAGTTTCGGCGTACCTGTTGGAGAACAACCGGCCTACTGCAGCATAAACCCTCATGCCAATTTCGGGTTCGCGGGAACAAAGCATCAGCAAGGCAGATCTGGGTATCGCCAGTACTTCCATATCGGTCAGGGCTTCTCCGGAAGTAATAAGGGTTCCGGAACCCAGCAGCACGGCCAACGGAAATGCTTCGCCGGGACGCGCTATCCGCACGGAAATCTCTCCAACTTCAGAGTGCGTGGTCAGGTGAGCTTCGCCTTCCAGGATTACGAACATGTACTCGCCCAGTTCGCCGCCAGTGCCGAGCAGTTCACCCGCCGAGACATCGCGCTTCGTGCCCAGAGCAACCACCTTCTCTATCTGTTCCTGGGACAGGTCACTGAAGGCGTCGATCTGGCGGTATATCCGGTTGTCCCCATCTTTAGCCTCTCCGACCGGCGTTGTGTCCACCACCCTTTCCTCGAGTTCCTTGGTGCCAAAGATTCGCACTTCCGTTGCCACCCTTCGCTGCACTTCACGGGCGATGCTGCGCTTTACGTGGCGTGCCAGCAGCTTGCGGTCATGGGTGTACATGGCAATCAGATCCACCGACTCGCGATCGGCCAAACGCACTATACCATCAGCCACCGAGCTTGCTACCTCCACCTCCCAGACGCCAGTTGCCAGCGCCCCGATCCTGCTGGCGGACCAAGGACCGTAGATACCCCATGGCTTCCGCGCGGTCGCCTTCTTCCTGCTGGCTGGCCAATATGACGTGTTCACCTACTTTCTGGGTCCGGGCGGGAGGAATTACCTGGACCAGAATTACTTCCCCATCCTGAGCGAGGTCACCCTTGACCAAGGGAAATACTTCCTCCGCTGCGGGGGAACCATCCAGAGGAATCAAGACTTTGTCATACATATTTTTCTCCTTTCTTTGCCTTGAGTAGCGCCGTTATTTCCGGAGACCGGTATGACCGCTCAGGAGAAATCACAAGTTCCCGTCTCCTTTCCGACAAGTCTCGGCCGAACCAACAAATAAAATGTTCCCAAATACTGGAACAATGCCTCAATAACTATAACGTCAGGGCTGTCTCACCCTCTTCATTGGGCAGATACTGCTTTGCCAGCTTCATATCCTCTTCAAGAGCCTCCGCAGCCTGCTGTTCGGAAAACGAGATATAGGAACGAGTACGTTGACTACGGTATACCTGTCCCTTGAATCGGGTTGCCAATTGGTCCAGGCGGGTCGCAGCGCCATGTACTGCGCCTATTGCCGAGGGGCCCCGCCGCTCTGAACGTATGACCGTGCCTTTTACATTGAATGACAATTGGGCCAGGTAACTTTCCTGCCTGGAACGGGTCGGTTCGTGGGTTATTTCTACTCTCACGTCCTCGGCCGCCGGAATGTGGCGCAAGACCTGGTCCATTTTGCGTTGAACCTGGGTCCCAAGCCTCCGACCTACAACCATATTACGCCCTTCGATCCTGAAGTCCATTACAAACCTCCTTCTTCTGGGAATTGGCGCCTGTTGGACGCCTTTAAAGAGGAAACCAGGTGAGAAAGCGCCGGATGACCACAACTAACAGCTCCGAGATCGGAACAGCGCCATGGCCTATCCGACTCTAACGAACTAGTTGCGGCTTAAGAGGGTGTTTACGTAAACGGAGGTCATTTCGAGGTGTCTACAGTGGGGAACGAATCCGTTGGCGCCGTGGTACAGAACTTCGTCAGCACGGGTTTCTTGACCCGTGCCAATTACGAGAATGGGGACCGAGGTAAGGCAACGTATGGCACGGAGGAGACTCAATCGATCTGACCTGTTTGCCCCACCGCTGATAATCACCACGCTGGGGGCGTCCTCCAAGACGTGCTTTATACTGCGCCGACTTTCCGTAGCCTCGATTATGTCGAAGGCGGAACCGCGCAAGGCGTGAATGGTGCCGGCCCTTCCTCGGAAATTGCCTATAACCAAAGCTTTGGGTTTGGCTTGTGTCACCATAATACCCTCCTTAAGAGCGATATTAAGGAATCGCGAAAAGAAATATACTTCGGGTTTCCTGCCTCCTGTGGAGCATTTAGTCACAGTTTGCAATTTTAGTCAACATTGTGCCTGTTTTCACTAAGATTATCGTCGTCCATAATCCGATATTGGGTATATTATTCGTAACCGCGTTACTTAAGTGACGTATATCGTAGAAGTGCTAAGCTCGCTGCCCGGTAAACAGACTCGACGAGGGTTACCTGTTTGAGACGCAGGTGTTTGACCGAGGTGTTTGACGCAGCTCATCTGTACCAATTCCTTCCGTGAACGGGGACAGGGACAACCGAGTACACCATCCCTGCATTCCCCGTTCATTCCTGCCGTTCTTGTTAAAGAAGAGCAGTGTGTAATAGTATTAACCCACTCAATGGCGAAATGAAGTTGGGAGATTCTTATGACAGACGCGAATCCAGTAAATATTTACGAGTACGAAGAAGTCGCTCGCACCAAGTTGGGCAAAGGCGAGTACGACTTCATCGCCGGCGCCGCCACCGATGAAATTACCCTTCGCCGGACCCGCGCCGTTCTTGACTCCATTGTAATGAAGCCAAGGATGCTGGTGGATATCAGTGACAAGGACATGAGCACCACGGTGCTGGGACAGGAGATCAGTTTTCCGGTCATGCTGGACCCAGCCGGCAACCACAGCGCTGCCCATCCGGACGCCGAACTGGCCACCGCTCGCGCCGCCGGATCTGCCGGCACTTTGATGGTTCTCAGCGCCCAGGCTTCACGCACCCTGGAAGAGGTGTCACAAGCCGCCTCCGGGCCCATCTGGTACCAGCAATACTTTTTTAAGGACCGGGGCCTCACCCTCGAAATGGCTCGGCGTGCGGAAGAGGCTGGGTACTCCGCCCTGTGCCTGACTGTGGACGCAAAGGTCAAGCCCAAGCGGGAGCGCAACATCCGCAACAATTACCAGGGTCCTGCTTCGCCCAACTACGACCCGTCGCTGAACGTTGGCGGCAGCAGTTGGACCTTTGGCCTGGACGCACCCTCCGGGGCAAACGACATCCGGGATCAGGCGGCAACCTACGAGGACCTTGACTGGCTGGCCTCCAATACCAGGCTGCCCCTGGTGGTGAAGGGAATCATGGTTGCCGAGGACGGCTACCAATCCGCCGAGCATGGGGCCAAGGCGGTCATAGTCTCCAACCACGGCACTCGTTACCTGGACACCACCTTTGCCACCATTGAGGTGCTGCCCGAAGTGGTTGATGCGGTTAACGGCAATATTGAAGTCTACATGGACGGTGGAATCCGTCGCGGTTCCGACGTTTTCAAAGCCCTGGCCCTGGGCGCGCGGGCGGTGCTGATTGGCCGTCCCTTGTTCTGGGGGCTGGCAGTGGACGGTGAGGACGGTGTCAAGTCCGTCCTGGAAATGCTGCGCGACGAACTTGAGGCCACCATGGGCATGTGCGGCAAAACCACGGTTGAGAGCATTGACCGTGATTCAATAGCCACGGTCTCTCCGCTCCTGTCACTGTTCCCGACTGGGACGGAGTTCAGGTAAAGGGCTTTGACTCCTTTGAACTGCTAAGTGAAACACGAAATGGGGCAGGGTTGAACCCTGCCCCTACTGTTTGGGCTAAGTAAACGTTGGGAGAGTTACCTACAGAGCCGGCATTACCTCGTTACACAGCAGGGACAAGGCCTCGTCCACATCGGGACCAAGTTCCGAAAACATCAGCTGTCCAAAGCCCTGTGAACGGGCTATTTCCTGCACTTCCACCATCCGCTCCGCACAATCTCCAGGCGACCCGGCAATGAAAATAGCGTCAACCATGGAGTCGGTTACCGCAGATTCAAACTCCTTCTCCGAAGCGCCACTCTTTTCCACCTGATCCAAGTTCTCGGCGTCCGCAATAGATACTCCCATCCTTTCGATGTCCTCGTGAGAGTAACCTTGGCGGTACATATTCAACACCCGATGGCCGGAACTTTCCTTCACCCAATCCCGGGCCTTTTCGGCATCTTGGGAAACGGAAATTTTTATCTCGGCTACTTTGGGAACAGCGGCGGACTCTTTGGTCTCCGGCACCGCAGCGTCAAAAATGTCGAGCAGATCCGGCACACGACCGGTCCGGAGGGCAGCCAGGTAATGGCCGCCGAAGATTAACCCGTCCATATGCTCGCCACCGACGACCAATCCTCGCGGGCCGTTGCTGCCACAGTAAATGCTGACCGGCGATGCTGGGCTGAAATTCAACTGGAAGGTCGCAGAGGGATTGAAATGGTAGTAGTCCTGTAAAGCAGGGTAGTCTGAAAAGCACACGCCCTCCCCGTCCAGCAGCCGGCGCAGGCTCTGGGCAGTTTCCTGCAGCACACTTACCGGTCGGGGTGTCCGGATCAGCCGGGGTGTCCTGGGGTTGCCCCTGCCCAGGCCAATGCTGAGTTCTCTTCCATCCATCAATTCGCTAAGAGTGGCGACCGAATCGGCCAGGTCCACCGGATTTCGGAAATACTGAACGGTTACGGCCGTGCCCAGCTTGATGTTTAGGTTGCATGCCATCGCCGCCAAAGTTACGTAAGACTGTCGGCTGCGCAAGTTGTCGGTGACCCACATTTGGGATACACCCCTGTCTTCCGCTTCTTTGGACAGTTCTACCAAGTGAGGCAGGGGCACGTGGGCGTAGGTGGGCAAGTGAAACTGTACTCCTATTTCCAGTCCTAGCATCTATTACTCCTGTCAACGGGGTCGATTTCGTTCATTGAATTTAGCAGGTCCGACCCATTATTAGGGCGTGATTAGTTTTGGATGGGTCACGCCAGCGGAGTTGGAATCCACCATTCCATACCGCGAGGAGTCTCCACGTATTCGGGCCAGCGCAGGTCCACGGGTGGAACAAAGTCTTCCGCCAACAGCGGGGCCACCCATTTCTCCCCACCGACCCCGCCGCCCGTCCTTTCCCGAAATTCAGCTTGAGCCTTTTCCAATGTCGACGGGATGGTTAGCAAATCCGTCAAAGTGGCAGCAATGGTCTTGCCGGCAACAAACATCCCTGGGTCAATACAGCCGGGAACTCCCCCCATGGCGTTCAAAGTCCACATGGGATAGGTGAACCCACTTTCAGGAGGCCGGAGGCGTGGCCGAGAAGTATGCAAGCGGGCGGTGGGAGCGTGCCAGGTGTATTCGACGTAGTCATCGGAGGTGAAGTTGTGCTGCCAGGGCGGCAGGCTACGCTGTTGCGCCGCATCATAGTCCTGAGGCGTCTGCAGCCGCAGATTGTCGTCAGTGAAGGGCTCGTCAGCGGGCGGCAATCCCAGGTTTTCCTGAATAGCCCGGGCAAACTTGCGAGCTTCATCTCCGAAAATCGGAGGGCCCAACAGTTCCAGGTTCCTGTAGGTTAGCTCAGACAGGGCCAGGTTGGGCAGGCCCACCCGGGTCTTGGTCACCCAGCGGGGCGTTACGACGCAGCCGGTGACCTCTGCGGCATGGCGGGCGTTGCGTTCCAGCACCTGGTAAATGCGGTCCTGAATATCCAGGGTGGGCGACCGCCAGGCGTACTGGATTTGGCTGAACCGCGGCGGCAGGTTGTCGGAGGTGCATTGCCCGCCGGCCAGTATGTATTCGTTGAGGGTCCAGGTGCCGGTATGGGGAAACATGGATTCCTTGGTGTACTTGGTATTGGTGTACATCAGGCAAACGGCGTCAAGGGCCCCGGGGCAGCGGGCCACCGTATGAGGACGGTCCGGCGCAGCCAGCAAGCTGGAATCCATCCACTTTTCCGGTTCCAGGCACTCGAAAGTGAAGACTACGCTCCAGTAGGAACCGCAGTGGGTTTCCCAGGCAACGGTGTTGGTGGTATGGGGATGATAGACCACGGCGGCGTCCAGATCGTCATAGTAGCCCTTGGCGGCGTGCACCGGCTTGGACCCGCAGATTTTCTCCGCCGGTTCGCCAAATATTCGCAGGGTTCCGGAAAGGCCGCGAGCCTCCATGGCCGCCTTGGCGCCCAAAATCCCCATCAGTGCTGCCACTCCCAAGGAGGAATGGGGGTCAGTATGGCCGGCGGCCCAGGGATGGAGCCCCTCCCGGGGCGCCTGGTAGGGAACCGGTTGCTGGGAGTTGCCGGGCACCGCGTCGTACTCCGCAAAGGTTGCCAGTGTTGGCCCTCCCTGGCCCCAGGTGGCGCAGAAGGCGGTCGGCATTTCTCCGGAGCCCTCTTCCACTTCGAAACCGTGTTGCCGTAACAGGTCCACGAAGGCGCGGGCGGACCGGTACTCCCGGTAGGCGGGTTCGGCGTAATTCCAAATTTCCTGGTGGAAATCTGAAAGCCACTCCTGCTGACTTTCGATCCACCGCAAGGCCGCAGCCTTGGCTACCCCAATTAAGGTCATTTGTTCCTCCCGCCAACGGCCTACCGCACATATAGACTACTGCCCACATAATGGTTGCATTGTAATTCCCTGGATATGGTTAGGCAAAACTCGCCAAGTTGCTTCAGGCTACCAAAGTTAAATACAGGAAAGACACGGCCTGGCAGGCTGGCTATATTCGTATCAGCCCAGAGGGGGAGCAGAGATGGTCAAAGACCGACAATTCTTTGTAAACCTGCCCGTTGTAGATCTGGAAAAATCCACCACCTTCTTCATGACGCCGGGGTTTAATTTCATTGTCGCCTGCTCCGACGAAAACGCTGGATACATGATAGTCGGGGGAATTCTTTCGTGATACTTCTATCTGGTCCCTCCTTCCAGGGTTTTATACCGGACAAAGCCATTTCAGACTCCAACTCCACGCCGAAGTTCTGGTGGCCGTTTCAGTCCCTGGCCGGGAGGCAGTGGACTCGATGATTCAGAATGCAATCGACCCTGGCGGAAGCGAATACAGGGAGCCCGCCTATTACGGCCGGATGTACTTCCGGGCCTTCCTCGACCTGGACGGCCATATCTTGCAAGTGTTGACTATGGAAGAAAACAAGAGGCCGGGTGAAATGAAACAAGGGGACTGCAAAACAGTATGGCAGAGTTTCAGAAAATAGTTCCCTTACTCTGGTTCGACGGGGATGCCCAGAAAGCGGTCGAGTTCTACGTTTCCCTCTTCCCCGACTCAAAGATAGTTAGCAGTTCGCCACTGCCTACGGGCCCTGCGCAAGGCGCACCCATTGTGTCTTTCATCCTTGCCGGCCAGGAGTTCACCGCTCTTGACGGCGGACCCATGTTCAAGTTTTCGCCCGCCATCTCTTTCGTTGTCAACTGCGAATCTCAAGAGGAAATAGACCATTTCTGGGAAGGTCTGTCCGGGGGAGGCGTCAAAGAGCAATGCGGCTGGCTTCGGGACAAGTTCAGGGGTTTCCTGGAAAATAGTTCCCGTCCAATTGGGAACATTGATGGAAGCCAATCCGGAGAAAGTTATGACCGCCGTGCTGGAAATGGTGAAGATAAATGTGGCCAAATTGGAATCGGCAGCCCGGGGAGAGTAAACTGGGCACCACGATCTGGAACTAAATTAAGGCGATTTGAATTAAGGGAGGAATACACAATGGCAACAAAGCGTATGGGAGAAGCCTACTGGGGAGAGGAATTACACGTTCCCCTGTCTTCAGATGGTCAGGTGTCGGCCTACGTTTGGCCCCTTCGCATCCTTTCTATACGTGGGGAAAGCTGCGGTGGCCCAACTATCGGCGTAGACGTGGGGAACGAGGAAGTCATACGGTTCGATTGCCACGCCAATCGAGGGCACTGGCATACCGGCGGCTACGACCGGTTGGGCACTCCGGGCAATTCCCACGTGGACTTCCCAGAAGGAGTTGCCAGTATTCAGGAGCAGGTGGCCTGGTCCCTCAGGCATCTCCGCGAAATGGTGGGAGACTTGCTAACTCAGTCGGAACAGGAAGAAGCGGCGCAGAAGGTTGAGTCCTATCTTGTTGAGACAGGTCTTACCACCATCCGCAACCACATCGAAAAGAACGCATACCTGAGGACCCGAGCAATCGATGAAAAAGTAATTGTAGGTTAAGCAAAGAGTTCCACTGGTATCACGTAGATTTCCGCCAGTGCCACCGAAGATTACCGGGGCTAAGCGGGAATTCTGAAGCCGCAAAAACTGAAGCGGGACAAGCCTATCAACAAGGGCTCGTCCCGCTTTTTTCATTTCAAGGATTTAGTGTCAATCCGACCGGCTATGGACTATTTCCTGGAATACGGAATCGCTGATCGTAACCTTGTTGGATCGTACGACTACCAACTCTTCAAGTTCGTGCCTGCAGTAAGCTCGTAAGTCTTGCCGCCAATTTCCACGTCAACGTCTCGTCCGACATTGAGGTAATACGACCTTCCACTAATAACTTGAGTGAGCGGGCTGTAGGAGCTGAGACTTTGTGGTGGGCCAAGGAAACCCGGCAACTGGCCCACGGTGAAAGTCCCGCTGGGATCGTACAACGACCAGCTCTTGGTTGCATTGTCGAAGTAGGCTACCCATCTAAGGTTATTCCCCAAAGCAGACAAGGCGCTCACTATTTGGGCGCTCGGGGAAACAACCGGGCGAGCCTCCACAACTTCTGCCAACACCGTGAAACTGGAGGAAGCAGTATCCGAACCGGCCGTAACACTTACGATATGGGAACCAGGCCCAAGTGACGGAACTTGAAGGGACGTGGAAAATCGGCCGTTAGCTCCAACCGAGGCAGAGGCCGAGACCTGAATCCCACCAATAGTGACCCGTGAGACAGGAGAGCCACTGGCGAAATCACTACCCGATATGGCTACGCTGGAACCTGTTCGCCCACTGCTCGGGGATACCTGGACAAACGGGTTTCTAACCACCGCTACCGTAGGCGTTGGGGTGGGACGCGGCGTAGCAGTGGGTAAAGGTGTGGGCGCTGAAGTCGGAGTCGGCAACGGTGTCGCGGTAGGAACCGGCGTAGCCGTTGGCAACGGGGTAGGAGTCTCCGTCGGTCTGGCGAACATGGAAGACCTGGGAGCGACAACCAGTGGAGTAGCTACCGGAGCCTGTTCTACGGGCTCTGCGGGCACCAGCGTCGGAATTGCCCTTCGCGTCGGGATCACAACAGGGGCTGGTGTCACGGCTTGAACCGGGGCCGCTGCCGGACTCTCGCCGGCTTCCGGACCTTCCGAGGATCCTCCGCACGCCCCCAGGGCCAGCAGTCCTATAGAACATAATACAAACAATTTAAGAAATGCTGTTACACGAACTCCACTACCCGCTCCCCAGTTCCCGTTAACCATAATTAGTCTCCATCAAATACCCTTTGAATTTCTACTAAACCAAGGTAGCAGTGTCCCCTTACCTTGCATAGTAGACATAATAACTCTACCACAGATGCTAGCCATTTGAAGCTAGCAACTAGAACATTTTAAGCAGTTTTTTGGCTTTTTTTGCTTGCGTCCAGCCTGCAACAAACCGGCTGCCGTGCCAGCGAATTAATTTCTCTCAAGCAATCTATACCGCCACCACAGTTCCCGATTCATCTTGCAAATACGGTCAATGTCAGGATGCGGATGCACGATTAAGCCGACACTTTCCACGAGCCAGGCCCTACCGGTCAATTCAGGACAATCCCCTTTGGCTGCTCCCACCCTTGACGCGTACACCAACCCTAAAGCCCCAGCAAATCCTCCAGGTTTTTCCAGAGTATGGCTTCCTTCTCTTCCAGGGTGAGGCTCTTCAGACCCAGCACCCAAGACACGGGCCAGTCGATCTGCATATCGGCGGGCCAGTCGGTGCCGAAAACCACCCGGTCTGCGCCCACACAATCAATGAGGTACCGCAGGTCGGGCTCGCTGTGGGTCAAACAGTCATAGTAGAAGCTGCTCAAATAGGCGCTGGGAGGCTGGGGAATATTCACCCTCGCCTCGGACCTTACTTGCCAGCCCCGGTCCATCCTGCCTATGCCATAGCAGGTGTAGCCACCACCGTGGCAGAGGCATACCCGCAATGCCGGATACTTGTCCATCACTCCACCAAAAACGAATGAAGCGAAGGTAACGGCGCGGTCCGAGAGATTACCGATCGTGTTGGAAAGATGGTATTTGCTGTTTCTCGGACTAACCACGGTGGGCCCATCCTGGTGAATCAGCATCACTGCGCCCAATTCTTCCGCCGCCTCCCACAGTGGGAAAAACTCGGGGTTGTCGTAGGTCTTGCCGTTGACATTGTCCCCTATCATTGCGCCCTTCAGGCCAAGTTCATTAACCGACCGCTCCAACTCCGTAACCGAGGCTGCCACATCCTGCATCGGCAGATTGGCCAGACCGGCAAACCGGTCGGGATACTGTTTCGTTAAGCCGGCAACATAATCGTTGCACTCGTGGTTCATGCGGACCACGGTGTCCAAGTCGCCATCGTAGCAATAGAGAAACGAATGAGTAGATAAGATATGGATGTCGACCCCAAGGGAGTCCATATCCTTGATTCGTTCTTCAGGAGTCCACATCCCACGGGGTGTGTAGTCGGCGTAACGCCTGGCGACCAGTTCAGGACTGAGGGAATAATACCCGGTGCCCTCCCTCATCGACTTAAGACAGTTCTCAGGAGTTATATGGGCATGTATATCAATGCTGCGCATCTGCAATATCCTCTAGGTTCAATTTTTTGCTTTCTCACTGGCCGAAACTTGCCGCCATTGCTCTCAAATAACCACTGAATTTTTACCGAGCCAAGCCTACGAGGTAAGCAGGTTTATGTCAACGCAGTTGTAGAAATTCAATTATCTATGCCATTCCTAAGTACCTTCAAATAAGCCGCCCAACGTTGGACATTGCCTTGACTACGGTATATAATTCCGCTGGTAAATGACCGGCAGAAAGCAGTTGCCACCTTAGGCGAAGCTCTCGCATCAGCCCAAGTGTACCTGTCGGCTTCGTGTGTTTGATTCAGAGTGGGCTGATGAACCGGGGAAATTGAGAGAAGGAGTAAGGGGTATGGCAGAAAACAACGACCTTATGTTGATGGCTCACCTTATGCGCCGCGCCGGCTTTGGTGCTTCGTATGAGGAACTGGAGGAGCGTACGGCCAAGGGCTATGAGGCCACTGTGGAAGAACTGCTCCATCCTGAAGAGCAACCCGACCTGGAAATGGACGTGATGAACCGCTACATGCACGGTTGGCGGGATATGAACGGCCTGATGTCCAACCAGGGTTACTGGGCTTACCGAATGGTAAATTCCGTCCGCCAATTGGAAGAGAAAATTTGCCTCTTCTGGCACGGAATCTTTTGCGTGGGCGACTCAAAGTGTATGCGGTCCCGCCAGATTCTCCTGGAGTTGAACAACTTCCGGGCCCACGGTATGGGCAAGTTTGATAACTTGCTGATGTACCTTTCTACCGATCCGGCCATGCTTTATTACCTGGACAACCAGCTTAGCCACAAAGAGGCCGTGAACGAAAACTGGGGGCGTGAGCTTCTCGAACTGTTCTCCATGGGCGTGGGAATGGACGGCGAAGCCAACTACACCGAAGACGACGTGAAATCCTGCGCTCAGGCCTTCACCGGCTGGACCATTGCCAACGCTATTCCCCGGTATCCCTATGGTAGTTACGCCAATCGGTTCCTCTATAATAAGTTTGACCACATTGATGATGAAAAGACCTTCCTGGGCGAAACCGGCAACTTCAACGGCCAGGACATTGTCCGAATCATCTGCAAGCATCCGGCTACTGCCCGCTTCGTGGCCCGTCACCTTTACAATTACTTTGTAGCCGACGAACCACAGGTCCCCTGCCTGGCAGCACACTCCTCCTCGGGACATGGAACTCATAAAGGCGCTTGAGGAAGAATATTTCAATTCGGGTTACGAGATTCGGGCCATGCTCCGAGTCCTGTTCAATTCCGACAGCTTCAAGAACGCCCGCTTCGCCAAGGTCAAGAACCCCTGCGAAGTGGTGGCGAGCACCCTGAGGCTAGTTGGAGATTTCCAGACTCCCAGTCCTCGCTTCTATGACCCGGTCCTGCAAATCCGTTACATGGGCCAGGACCTGCTCAACCCGCCCACGGTGGAGGGTTGGCACACTGGCAAGGAGTGGATCGACAGCGGCACGCTGGTGGAGCGGGTCAACTTTGCTGCAGGCGAAATGGGCCGCACCGATGCGCCGGGCATCCGCGCCATCGTCAATCGGCTGGCATCTCGCGGCAAGGTTATTTCCGCCGGAGACCTGCTGGACGGCTGTCTTGAAATTCTTGGCGGTTATGAATTGATGGACGAGACCAGGGAATTGTTCCTGTCCCAGGCCCTCAAGGCCAGCGAACTTGACACCTCCAGTGAGGAATTCGCCGGGCAGGTCAGCCAGTTGCTACAACTTATTGTGGCTACCCAGGAAATACCAGTTCGCCTAAGGCGCAATGTCAACAACTTATCCCGGCTTCCTTTGAATGTACGGAGGCCGGGACCACCATCAAGTTAGAAACTTACATACAGGAGGAGATATGACCAGCACCAAGAAAGATCCGGTCCTGGTAGTTCTTCAGCTATCCGGCGGCAACGACTTCATGAATACCTTTGTCCCGTACACCAACCCGCTGTATATGGACAACCGGCCCAACGTTCACATTCCCCTGGATCAGGTAATGCCTATTAATGACGAATTGGGCATTAACCCCAACATGCCTGAGTTCAAGGCTCTTTACGACGAAGGCAAGGTAGCCGTGATTCAGGGTGTGGGTTACCCCGTGCCTAACCGGTCCCACTTCCGTTCCATGGATATCTGGCACACTTGTGAGCCGGACAAGATCGCCGACGAAGGCTGGCTCGGGCGCGCCATCAAAGACATGGATCCCAACAAAGACAACGTGCTTACCGGAGTAAATTTCGGTCGAGGTCTTCCTAGGGCCATGGTAGCTCCGGGCGTTCCGGTCGCGTCTGTGGGTAACCTGGAGAGCTACGGCGTGCTGACTACTATCGAAGCCGAAGACCAGCGCAACGAAGCTTTGGACATCTTTTCCCGCATGTACTCCCCGGCCATGGGCCACGGTCCGGTAGTGGACTACCTGTCCCAGACCG